CATTTTTATATAGCTAATGTTTAAATGTTTATATTTATTTACATATCACTAAAGAATTAGACATCACATCAAAAATATTAGTATCATTAACATTTTACAATTGAAATACATTTTTTCAAATATAAATTTTTAACATCAAATTGTTATAAATTGAAAATATTAAATCTTAGTCTTTTATATGTAAATATATAAAAGTTGTGTGGCATGTATGTAAATCATTCTATCTCCAATTTAGTCAAATTTGAGTATAAGTTTTTTGATTGGATCTTGATTTGAGCCAAACAAAGATCGCTAGCTTTGATTAGATAAGAACAAGAAAAATCAATCTCTATTTTCTAAGATAAATTTTTAGACTACCATATATACAAACACAAAGTAATATATGCAAATGTGTTGAGAAATTAGGATGAAGAAAAATAAGAATCAACACAAAGCTAAAAGAAAACACAAAGATTTACGATGTTCGGCAAAGATGCCTACGTCCTCGGGAGCAGAGCGACGGCTTTCTTAAATATTCAGAAAAGAGTTACAGAATATGAGATTAGACCTAGGTTACATAAAAGCCTATTTATAACCTTAGGAAACCCTAGAGTACAATATGTAATTACCAAATTACCCCTGTACCTCACCTCCAACCCACATAAGGAAAGTCCCCCGATTTGGACAGATTCTTCTGCTTTGCTCCACTCCACTTCGTTCCAGCATCTGTCCCTTATATGGTATATGAGTCATACCATAAAAAATCTCCACCTTGACGAACATCCAGTCCCTTAGGAGAAATACATTATGGAGTTTCTTATGCACTGAAGTGGGCTCTAGCAAATGCAAACATTCAACAAGTTCAAACAATGCAAGAACTTATTGATAGTAACTGGCTTGGTCAACAAGTTCAAACAAAATCTCCACCTTGACGAACATCCAGCCCCTTAGAAGAAATACATTATGGAGTTTCTTACAAACATTCAACAAGTTCTAGCAAATGCAAACATTCAACAAGTTCAAACAATGCAAGAACTTATTGATAGTAACTGGCTTGGTCAACAAGTTCAAACAAAATCTCCACCTTGACGAACATCCAGCCCCTTAGAAGAAATACATTATGGAGTTTCTTATGCACTGAAGTGGGCTCTAACAAATGCAAACATTCAACAAGTTCAAACATTGCAAGAACTTATTGATAGTAACTGGCTTGGTCAAAAAAAAAAAAAAACTCTTAGGGCATTAAAGGGCAACTCTACAACACTAACCATTATTCTTAATATAAAAAAGAAAATTCACAAAATGTGTTGTGACAGCATTTATCATATAATTTCCTAGAATGAAAAATATTTCACTATCTAATGGCAAAATAACAAAAGTAGCCTTCTACTCATAATAAAATCATTCAGATCTCTACATAATTCTACCACAAAAGTATGTAGGGGTAGGGAAATGCTTCTGCACTTTACACAATAGCAAGTGCATAAGGGGTTCCCCTTCTGAATGATAATCTAGGAAATGTACCAAATGTTTTGCAGAAGAAAAACCCAAAGCCATTACAGATTAGCATAGAAAAGACAGAACAGACAAAAAGTATTTCATAACCAACAGAAATGTTGATAGGATAACAATCTCATTACTGTTCTAGAGGAAACCATTCCTTTTATAATTTAATCTAGAGTTTAAGAAGGAGTTTAGCTTTGGAATTAATGCACAAAGCAATGATACTTAATTATAGATCGCCTGATTGCTTCAAAATCGTGGAGAGAGAGGTAGATTGGAGATGGGCTCAGGGGTTGATTTCCTTTGAATCGACCAAATACGCTAGAGATGAATGAAAGAGGAAAGGGAATGGATGGGGATAAAGAAGATAAACGCCCGTACACCGCACGTTTAGACGACCAACCGTCAGGCACGAAGTCGTCATACATGTCGGCGACGGGCGATTGACCGTCCGGACGTAATAATTTTTCGTAACAATGAGCAGCTGAAATGAAGACGGACTAAGTTTAGGGTGTTTAAATTGAAACATGTAAAGTCTTGGGTCGTGAGTATGTAAAAGCCCCTGATAATAAAGATAATCATAATATGATTAATAATAATAATAATAATAATAATAGTAGTAGGGCTAGTCTTAGTAAAAAAATTAGACCAAAGCAAAATTTTATCTAAATGCCTTGCAAAAATTCAACTCAGTTACTTAGTATGCATACCCATGCTTATCTATATTGATTGCATATAGACAATGAACATGAAAAGTATAATGAGTAGGGTTCTTTTGATTAGAGTAACATCCACTTAACTCACTAAAATCAAGCAAAAATGTATATTTATTGAAGAAGTATGGAAGTCCTAGAACTCAGGGTTGCCAACTCAAAGGAGGTTTTCATGTCATTTCTCGAAGCAACAATGACACGTATTATTCAATCTAATAAAAATAATTATCATAATTTTAAAGTTAATCACTATAGGAGAAAAAAAAGATGCTGAAATCGACAGTTTTTTACATGTTGAAAAATTGTTTTAATTACAGATGGTTTTGCGACAGTTTCTTATCTTTGTTATTTGCAACGGTATAACTACAACATATATCGTCGCTCATCAATAACATTTTGTTTTCCGACTATTTTTAGTTATATTCAACAGAATAACCCGTCAGTTATAAACAAATATTAACTGATAGCTGTAGTTCGTCGGTTATCTTCGAACCCACCATCTGGCGGGTGTCCATCGGGATTTGCTGTCGGTTGCATTTCAAAGATAAACTTATACAAAACATACCAAAGTCCACCTAAATATATAGATGTGAAAATAAATGTAAAAGTCAAGATATATACATCTTCTTTTGGCAACATAAAAAATAAAAATAGAATAAAGTTTTTGTAAGGTTTTTGTAAGAATATAAGAAATATATATATTAGCACTAACAAGTTTATATCAATATCAACTTTATAAACATGATCTTTGATATGTTTGTTAGTGTTGCAATGAATTTGTAATTAAGCCAATGGCATTAGTGTGGTCACACATAAGTAGAAAATATTATAGCATAAATTTATAATATTTTAATTATGTTATTAACCAAATAAATTGTGCTATACAACCACTCAGAGCTATGTAATTAGCTTTAATAGTAGATAAAGCTAAAGAATTTTATTTTATAAAGGTTCAAAAAGTAAGTGTTCGAAGGGCGGAACCAACTGCCTTTTGAGGGGACGTGGAAAGGCTAGGGTAACGAAGGACAAAAAAAATATTTCAGAAGGGTCAAAACTGATATCTCAGGATGGGCAAAAGGACAAATTTATGTTTTATATAATTGAAAATCTAAATTTGAGTAGGTGCAATTGCCCCCCTGGACTCTAGTTGTGTCCACCCCTGGTTTTCCTTCTAAAATTTGAAATATATTTGAGATACTTTTCCGATCAACTTTCAGGCTAACGTGGTATGCTTTAAAATGTGTAGCTAAGTCACATGACACAGAATTTTTAGGGTATCACAACTCAATTTGAATGTATATGCCAAATAATAAAATATTTGTTTAACTACTATTAGATGTGATTCTCTTAGACAAAACTAAAACTGAGGCTACAAACGTATAACAAATATAAAATGAAGTTTAATAATAATAAAGTATTTAAGTGAATCTATTATTATAGTCCCATTAATGTTTTTATAAATAAATTTATTTTATTCTTCTAAATTTAATTAATAATCAAGCCCATAATTTTACTCAAAAGAATACGAGAGCTAGGGTTCACTGTAAGTCCCTTCAGGTCACGGGTTCGATCCTCAGTAACGCTGAGTTCTTGAATATTTAGGCACATGACGCGGGCTCTCATCAGATGACCTAGAGCATGAGAAATCGATATTTAGGCCTTCGCCAAATTCCGATTTACTTTTAATAGTGTAGATTAGCTTATGATAACGTAGAGGAAGTTTCCAGGCGGGCCACGGCTAAGTTAATTAGGCAAAATAGTTCTTCCTTGGTTAATGTGAGGTTTGCGAATGGACATCGGTAAAAGGGCTAACATTCTATTGAAGAAGCAACAGAATCCAGCTTCATTTGTTTGGTTATTTCAAATGGGAGATTTAAATAAAATTTTAACATATTTATATTTTAATACTTAAATTTAAAATATTTAAATATTAAATAAAATTAAATATGAGTAGTGTTAATTTCTAAAAATTAAATTTATATATTTTTAATATATTTGAAATAGTAAAATAATCAAAATTCAATCCCATACCAGGTTATAAACGAACGAATCTATTAGATATATAAATAAATGAAACTTTTCTCTCATATTGGGCTCTAAATGAACCGATACATTTGATCAACGACATGAACTCGACTCGATTATTGCTCAATGAATATTCGTTAAATTTCATAAATAAACAATTTTGAACATGTTTTTTCTTAAACTCGAAGGTTAAATGAACCATATTTGAGTATAGTATTACTCATTTATTAATGCTCATGAACACGTTCATTTGTTGTTCAACAAATAACATGTTACATGCTCTATCAATGTATGATGTATCATATACATATACATATATATATATATATATATAATCAAGTAATTATTCAAAATTTTATCATGTTATATAATTTTATATGAAATTTAAAGTATGAATTAAATTTATGTTTTTTAATTTCATATACATGTCAGGTATGATCCTTTAAGCTACAGGAAAGCTCAGCCCAAGCTCAAAAACAACTTATATAATTCAACTAAGACAAATCCAATCTATGACATATTTGATTACAAGCAACTCCCATGTTTATCAATTCCCCTCCAATTCCATAAATGGTTAAGAGTATCACGCAATATAACTAGCGCATGAACAATCAGCATTCAGCCCTCTGCATGGTTCAACAATAGAGTTTACTGTCCATATAAAATAATTCTCACCTGAACATCTCAAAATATTAAAATAGAATAGTGCCAAATTAGAGATTGCTAAGCTCACAAAATGAAATTTAAAGCATAACAAGTGCCATCAACATCCATTCACAATTAAACCTAAACACATCATTTAGAGGTAATCACACACTAAATCACTCGCACTTCAGCAACACACAAACTTAAAAAGAGTCATAAATATACATAAAACGACATAAAGCATTCTCATAAAGCATGCAACAAACATCATGAAAGCAATAACACGTCCGCCAGCAATACTAATAGCGACACCCACATCATATAAGATAAGAGAAAGACTTCCCCCCCTAAACACGCTTATAAAGCAAAAGAACCGCCCCCCCAACCAGAAGATCAGCAGACTCTAATTCTGGTCAAAAGATGCAAAGCCAAATAAATACCCTTTGAAGCTTTAAGCTTTTATTACACCATTAATCAATCATTGAGTCTCCATTGTTTTCATGGCTCTGCAAATACTAATGCTGCAGCTGCAAACTATACAAAGGAAGATGAAGTTAATGATAACCGCTCATCTACCACAGTATTTGTACCATAATCAGCCAATACTACTGCTGCAGGTGCTATAACTAAATAGAGAAGGTGGAGTTCATGAGAAGCTTTGGAGAGAAGAAAGCAATGCCCATCTTTGCTCACCGCTTGAGCGACTACAAACATTGATTAATGCTTCTTCATCTGCCATGACCATCAGATACTATAACTTCAATCTGCAAATACTACTACTAGAAGATGACTTAACGAGAAGCATAAAATTGTAGAATGGAGAAATTCGCATTCCCTTCACTCCTGAGAGTAATTGTGCTCTATCTAGCATATAGCACTAATGTTATTACTGACATTACCATCACAAACTAGTACTTAATCTGCAAACACTACTATTACTATCCACAGGAAGATTGTGATCATCAGAAGATTTAGAGAGTGAAGGAATTGGCACCTGCTGCCTTCGCTTGCAGCTGGAGTGACTTCAGATATTGAATCGCCTCATCAAGCACAGAGACGGTGTCCTTTCCCTTACCTCCGGGGATAATTCTCCTCAGCATGCTAACTGTAGCGTGAATACTGTCCCTCTTGTTGCACCTGCTCCTGCTTCCTTGTCCAGTTTTGTCTTTCCCGTCGCCAATGCAACCATTAAAGCCTAAATCATTACTGCCATCTTCAAGTATGAAATGAGGAGACAGAGCTACTGCAGAGCTTGCAGTGTCCATGAGCAATGTGTCTATCTCAGTAGAATCAACTCTACGGCGCTTGGCTGGGAGATAGGAACTGGCAATATCTTCCTTCTCCATGTCCAATGGAGAATGTCCTGTGCTACTCTCTTCATCATCATAAATATGTTCCGAGTCGGAGTAAAGTAGGGCATCAATTTCTTCTGTATCTTCATGCACCTTATTTTCTTCACTGATATGGCTATTGGAGGCATTGGTGTTAGCCACACTGCCCAAAGGTAGAGTTGGATTAAGACCCTCGAATGGACATGCCACCGAACTAAAAACCAAGCTTGTTTGGTCCCCAGAGTAATCAAAAACAAGGAACCTCTTCCTCTTAGTTGCTTCTGGTTCGGAAAAGTTAATTGTAGGATTTGGTGCCAGTGTGTTCATTGGCGACCAATTCGTAGAGTTAAACTGAAGGACACTCCCCTGCAATCTAAAACCGGGAAATGGAATGCCGCGGACAGAAGGGCCATGAGAGATACCAGTGGTTGGACAAGCAATTGAGTTCTGTGGCTGCCCAGAATCAGGAGGCCAGAAAGTACTACCCGAGTTCAAGTTACTAAACTCCCACATCTAGTGCAGTAAAAGAAGGTTAAATCTCCTGAAACACAAACACTCAGATGCAAAAAAATCTGTACCAGCGAAGTAAAACTGTTCTTTTTTACTAGGATTAAAAGCAAACCAACCAACCAAAAGAAAAGCGGAGAGTTCTTCTATCACGGGCTCTTTCTCAGAGCGTGCAAAATTCCAGCTTTATTCTAAGAAAGCAAAAGGACGGAAACAAATCTACGTGACCGGCTTCAGGAGTTGGCGGAAATACTCGGCCTGAATAAGAAGAATTCATCAAACAAGAGAGAATTATATTATAAACACCTAGAAGAATTGGAGGAAATCGAGAACTGAATTAAGATTGTAATATATTTGTTCCACCGCAATTACCTGACAGTCTTGCAACGGTTGGAAGCAAACGACGACTCTAACTATGATGGTAGCACAGCCAGAAATCCCATATTCGTATTTCAATTCCCGAAATCTCGTCTGTGACGCTGCTTGGCACACCATTACTACTCTGCTTTCCCTTCAAAAGTAGCCGACCACCAGAAAGCACAAGAAAAAGAATCTCAAGAAGAAGAAGAAGAAGTTGAAGTCACAGCAGAAGAAGAATTTCAGAGAAAATCAAGAAGCCGTCCTTTATCGGAGGTGTCTCAACCGGTTTTAATGGAAAGAGACAAGATGCAAACAGAAGAAAGCCAAGGATGCAACCCAAGTTACAGAATAACCCTGCAATATAAGTTCAGGGAAACCACTTTCCGGTAGACATCGATGGAAAGGCTCAGCCACCGCATGCTTCTTCTCCAAATATAGAATCAGGTAAATTTCCCTCTCCCCAAAACTTGAGAAAACCCTAAAATATTATTATCGATTAGCAAGGCATGACCGAATAATTTCGAAATCAAAGCACGATCGAAAAAGTCCTGCAGAAAGATCCTTCATACACTGCAGAAAGCCCCTAAAAATTTTCGATTTCAAGTAACATACAGCGATCGAGCAAAAAGCGATCAATTTTCAGAAAGAACCTCAAGGGAACAATCTAATTAGTTCTAAAAAAAATCGAAAAACTGTTCCTGACAAAGCGAAAAAAATCAAATTTTATAGCGCAAATCTAACGATTTGTGGTAAACTACGATTTCACTTACAGAAGGAACAGCACGCGTGCGTATCAAACTCGACCAGAGCTCTGGAAGAAGCAAACCAGCGAGCAAGCTAATTTTCCCGGACAAGGAGATAGACAAAAGATGCAAAGATCTTATCGGCATCATGTGACCGAAATACCCTCGACAGATGACAGATTTTACAGCTTGTTTTGGTGGTTAATGGCGTGATAAGACAGAAGGCTTTGTCCTGCGAGGGAATACCGGAGGAATTGACTTCTAGCTAATTAATTGCCTACCGGAATTAGCCAGAGAATCAGGCACAAACCATGGTTAAGTTTATGCTTATACTTCAATGAGCATTTAGTGCGAGAATCACGAGATAACTTGGAAATAGAAATGGGGTATTTACATATATTCTTTTTATTTATTTATCTAATATATCAACTTCAATATATACACACACACTTATATATGAAAATGGTTATTTCATATTTTAACTAAAATAATAATATTTTTTGACTTTATATAAAAAATTTGAGTGATAAATATTAGAATAAAAATTTAAGTGTTGGGCTCTTTTGAAAATAAAAAAAAATTAATTTGTAAATTTTTTGTGCCTAAAACTTATACGACTATTTAAGCTATTTTTACTAAATATTACACAGCCAGCGCATAATTTTTAATTGTTTATGTATCTCATGCAAGTTTTCTATTTCCATGCAGAATACTTTAATGCTTTAAACTTTGTGTATTTTACTATTAAAAAAAATAATACAATTTTGATGTGATATTAAAGATTTGAGTGTTATGTGTATGATATGACAGTTTATGTATGAGATATATAAATACATAGGAACTACGTGCTATACATATAAATGCTCCTTTTTTGAACTATGTAATTATAGATTTTTTTTTGGTGGCGTAAATTATTGAAGCATTACAAAATTTCTTGGGTAATTGAAGATCATGCTCAACTTTATTCAGAGAATAAAGGTTATTACAAAAATAAAATCAACCAAAGCTATGCAAAGAAAATACAATTTTGATCATATTAGCATAAAATAAAGAACTCATATTATCAAGAAACTACTCTAAAGCCAATATCCAAATAAGAGATTTAGCAAATAGATGATATAGTCCCTATGGACGTCAAAAGCATAGAAGATATTTGGATAAAAATTCGTATAAAGTGGTACTAACAATAAATCCACCGAAGATGAATATTTGTATCGAAGTTGACAATCCAATACCGATATCCATAAAAGATAAAATCAGGCAGGAAAATGGTTGATCCCCATAAATAGAAGAAACTCCCAAAATGCTCAAGATCTAGTAATGTTGTGAAAAAACAACGACAATAAAGCGAAAAATCATATCGAGAAAAATGCAAAACAGAAAAGCACAGCGGAACGACACAGATTTATGTGGTTCGACAAATTGTTTATGTCCATGGAGGTACAAATGATTTTATTAGCCTGAGGATTACACCCGCCGATCACTTCGACGATTACATGAAAGAACAATCTCTTTGCCTCTTTCTTTCTCTTCTCAACCTCTTTTTCTCTCTCTCTACCCGAGAGCTTCAAACCGAAGCACACCAGAAGAAGAATCTGAAAAAGTTATCAATGTCGAAGAGAGATGACTGAGAAATCAAATCCCGACAGGGATTACAAGGGGAGCTAGCATGCTAATTTTTTAATTTCATCATGGTTCATCATGACATTAAGCCCATTAAAAAATTAATCAAATAATTAATGAAGCACATTAATTATTTCATTTTCTCTTTTGCAGCAATCATGGAATGAGTTAATAACAATCAATTTAGCAATTAGTTTCGAGTTTCAAATCCAATTTGCTGCCAAACATGAGAAAATGTCAATTTGAGCAGTGGACCGGTTTCCATATTTGAAACAAATCTCCTACTTGAAAACTGGTACACTGGCTGCATCATTCACTAGCTGTGTCACCCTTTTCTTCAAACTTGATATCCTCCACCTCTGCAACTCAAAGCCCCAATCTTCATGCCAGAAGATCAGCTGAAGTCGAGCGCAACTTCAGCTTCTCAAGAATAGCTTCTCAAGAATAACACTCTTACTTCAGCTTCTCAAGAATAACACTCTTAGTCGATATATCAACATCAACATAGCCTTGTACCTCCAAGCTTTTTCTTGGGTTATTCTTGTATATGCTAACAACTCCCACTTCATGGGGAATATCCTGCCTCTGTTAAAAGCCCTTTTTAACAAGTTTAGCTTCGTACCTCTTACTATCATCAAGCGTAGTTTTCACCTGGTACACCCACTTGTTATGCAATGTTTTCTTTCCTGGTAGAAGTTCTGTCAGCTCTCAAGTCTGATTCCCTGGCAGGGAATCCATCTTTCTGGTCGATTTCCCAATAACAGAAGATGAAATTTCTTCCCATAGAGGTAGTCTTCTATCTGCATCCTCCAGTAACCAAAATTCTGTTTATGATTTCCAAGCCTTATTTATAATTTCCCAATAGTTGTTTAAGTGTCTCTTCAAAAATGTCCATATTCAATGAATCTTTCTAAGGATGCCACAAGTGCCTCTTCAAAACTCCTTATAACCGCCTACAATTCTTCTAGAAAGTACCTTTTATCATTTCCAACAAATTCCTCAAGAGACACACGAAGCAACACTTCAAAAATCGTCCAAATTTGATGCATATTGTTGAAGATATGTTAAAAACCATTTTTGACGCTTAAGCACTGATTTTGGGCACTTAAGCTCCCCTCCTCTCTGTCTGGTGGCGCCTAAGTGCCATTTTGGGCGCTTAAGCGCTGGGCACAAACACTTAAGTGCTCGGTTTAGGTCCCCATGGCTCCAGTGTGCACCCGATTTGCTCCGTTTTGGCCCATTTTTGTTCTTTTTGCTCCAATCACTCCAAATTCTTCAATTTGATGTTCCTACAACCAAAAACACAAGAAAACATACATTTAAAGTGCAATATCATTATAAAATATAGCATGAAAAATAGTGCATTTTTAGGCACATCAACTATCCTTTCCATAAGGATTGTGTCCTAAAGTTTTTCAAAAAATTTCTTAAGCAAGGGATAAAGCTACTAGCATCTGCTAGATTGGAGGAGGTGAAAAAGACATTGGTGCCTGACTATTATTTGTACCATGGGTATTTGGGACATACTTCAGAGGAACGCTATCCCTTCAAGAACCGGTTCACAACTCAGTATAGAGTTGAAGAGATCAAGATCTCTTGAGCATTTTTTAGAGAAGACCATGGGTTAGGCGTCGATCAACATCATCTTAGATGTGTTGGTGGTGATACAAGCAAATATCAGTGTATCTTCAGGGTCGACTTTTGATGCATCAATGGATGTTGGGTGTGAATTTTTATTTATGGGTGATGTCCTCAATGATAATTATGTATCACATACTTATTCTAATGAAATAAAAGATCATTCTATTGGCTACATCTCATGCTTTTATAATTCTAGCAGTGTAGTTCAGACCGTGATTAAGATAAACCTCTTATTATACAAGTGTTATCTGGAGTTTTTTTAGCTGTATGATGAAGTTGGTATTTGTTAAAATGAAGTTCCCTTGGCTTGACTTGAGTCCTAGTTACTAGAATGATGCCCAAAAACTTACTGCGAAGTAAATCTGTCAATCATGCAATCATACGTGTTGATCAAGTAATATATGAAAAATGAGTTTGTGTATTAATCTCACGAGGATAGTCTCAAAATTTCTAATGGGTAAATATTTAGTTTACTAAACCACTAACTCTAGTTCTAAATGATTGAACTCGATCGATGAATCTAATAATCCTAAAAAGGCAGTAAACTTATGACAGAAAAAATGTGAAGTTTTTCAGATGTGCGAGATTCATACTTCTATGATACTGGTCAAGTGGTTTCTTAAGATTTTTCTATATAACCCATACAATTGTTGACAACCATAGATAAAAGGTTTCTCCTTATGCCTATGTCTAGCTCAAAAGAATATTAAAAAACTCATAAAGTTAAGTTTCTCTTACCCTATAACTTTTCTCACGATTCTTCTAGTCTCCTAGATATGCTGCAAAAACCTATTAGAATATGCTTATTCTACCAAATTTTTGTGATTAACCTACTCATTATGTTACACAATGGG